ATATATAAGGAAGTGGATAATAATCACGGAATGAATGCGTGACCTGTGAAGGAGAAAACATGCACAACTATTTTGTTCTACCAATTTAATCAGTTTTCGGGGAAGACTCGTGACATTTTCATCTGGGAAATGCTTCAACAAAATGCCTCAGTAATGTCTAAAGACTCCACTGCAATGTCATGAGAAATACTGACCCAAGCGCGGACTATTTTTGATGAGTGCCATTGGAACCCGATTAAACAAGTGCATTCATAAAAAGAAAAATGGGCACTATTGAACTATTCCCCAGTCTGCCGAAATGAAGCCGGTTGCGAAATTCCGAATCTGAAAAAAAGATCGAAAGGCAACTTCAAACGTTTCTAAAAACTCAAGGCGTTATGCACAGAAAGGAAAGGAAGAAGGAAAAGAAAAGAAAGAACAGAAATATTAAACATGAACAAACATGAACGCCGCCCCGCTGAATTTCACCTGTCTCAATAGCGCGGCGATCCGACCGTAATCCGATCGTGCGATCGCGGAGTCTGAACGCGCTCCAAGATGTTTCCTGCCCATTCTCGCACTTTTTCCTTATGTACGACCCGGTCCTCCTTCGCAATGTATGCTTTATCTCACAAAAAAGGGGGCCTTTATAAAGGCTTATCAGTCGTGAAAGTGTTTCTCGCAGCCTAGAAACACTTTCACGACTGATAAGCCTTTATAAAGAATAAAAAAGGATAAAGTTTTCGTCGTTCTTCAATCCTTCTACAAAAAAATGCGACACGCATTTTATTTCCATCCATTAGCGACTTATTGAATGTTACGCGGCCTATAGAATGAATTGCGGAGGCCAGCTGATGTAGGAATGAGTTCTCATCCTCCCAGATGAGCATAGTACCAATTTACCGCCTCGGAGGGCAGAAGGTTTGTTGGCGTAGGCTAATGTCGGTCCGGGATTTGACTCCCGGACCGTTCACATGGTAGTGCCACTTGCAACTACATCAACTATGCCCCGCGAGCGCCTACAACGAAGAAGATCAGTCATCAGGGAAAATTTTTCGAGAGCGATTACGACCCTCCAACGACCAAATTACGACTCCCTCTTCGTTGTGTTTTTCACAGCGGATGCTATACCCTGACTGTGTCGCTATTCATGTATTTGTATGTGTAAATCGTATTTAGGATCTACCGTTACTGCTCATATCGATCCTTTGTCATCTGGGCTTACGGTCCTATGGGAATGCGGAAACGATTTGAGCTGCCCGCTTGTGTGCGAGCAGCAATAATGGCCAAGTTCCCTGTAGATGGTGAGAAAGCTGCTGGTCATAAGGTATGGCAGGTGGCTGAGTAGTACTGGTCTTTCATATCTCAATTCAAGTTTTTAGGGCAGGAAAGTTGCTAGAAAAGATGCTATGGAGTGTGATGAAGACGAATGGCGGGACCGATTTGCCTGTTAGCAATCTCATCTATGGATACTTGATTAACGCTGACATGTTTTCAAAGTAACCATTAGCGGTATGTACTACGATACGAGAGCGATATTTCAAGTAGTGGAGAATTTCAGGTGCTCAGTCGCAGTGTATGGCACGATAACTCTTGCAAAGAAATTAGTAACGTTTCTTCGAGTTAGTGCCGAAGATACCATGCAAAAGGTATACTGCACATTCACTATAAAGCTGACTGTTTTGTATTTGAAGGGTTTCCATTTAATTTTGCGTCATTCTACCATCTGCAGGATACTGTGAAGCTTCTCTGAATGTTTGTATTAGAGCTGCGATGCGGGAAGGGGGGGGGGAGGGGTGATGAGGGCATTCCTTGTGGAAAGTGAGGCGCAAATGCGGATTTTGGCATTTTGAGCTTAAGGAGGTAAGGAGGACCCGTGTTGGATGAATCAGTACGGTGATTCCGTTTTGATAGTGGTGGGTCCAGATTCGTACAAGAAGCGTTTTAGAGGCATGTTGTGCGACCGCTCGAAAGTTTCGTTTCTGGTGTGAAATGCTCACATCCACAGTGAGTTACGCCATGCCAATCTCGTCACATGAAAGGGCGTTGTAATGGACCTGTTATACTAATTTCATTTATTGAAATTCCTCTATTTATTTGCTCTGCTGTTGGTTTTCAGAGATGCAGGTGGTTAGTTGAAAGCGGCACGCTTACTACGCGCGCGGTCCTGGGTGAAATTCCGGTATGGTCCCGGACCAGGCCACCTAGACTCCTACGCTTCGACGGCAGATTGGTGCCATATTCGGTTGGGGGGGGGATGAGCACTTTGGCTGACCGCCGCAAGTCTTGTATGGGCCACATCGCGTTCGATAAGCCATTACTGTTCTGAATGGGAGTGGAATGCGTGCCGCATTCCACAAAAAATTTATCAACGGCGGAGACTTTGTCCTTCATCCTTCATCTCATGGTTCGAGGTTCAATAAATACCTTAGGACTGTTGAAAATGCGACCTTGGGACTCAATTCCTAGTCCTTTTTGTTTAGTTACTCTAGACTTTTCTGAGTGTTTCTATCATTGATTTCCCTTTTCCTTGATTACGCCCTATAAGTCTCTGATGTTTCTGGAATATTGCAGTTTTAGGCAATCCAATGCTAACGCGTGATGTCACGTCGCAATAATCTCCTCCACTCTGCTCCGGTAACGACTTCGGTATTCTTTTTTTGTTTGTTTCATAGTAGTTTCCCGCCACTCTTATCTGGTGGAATGAATTCTTCATGCACGATTTGAAAAATCTAGAAGAATCCTCTGGGTGTGCGTGGTTACAGATTGTTAAGAGTTTTTCTTTATGCCATAGTCTTTGTTGTTTTTGGCAGTGATGTTGTTAACGGGAACAGTTCTTTTTTTTCTCAATGAAGTTTAATTTATTGCGGGGAACGATGGACAGGTGAGTTCCCGGTAAAACGGAAAAGAAGAAGTCATGAATCAAAATTTTGGTTGCATGGTGTTGTATAAAAGTGTTTGCCTTGATGTTCAGTGCTATGACACTTTAGGTTTAGTTCTTTTATATATCCACATTGAATATATGTAACGATCTCATCTTACTGTTGTTTTTATGGTTCTATTGCTTTTATTTAGGTTTTTCAAGTTTATTATAGTTTGGCGCGGTTCGACTTGGCGGGGCACCAAATTTCACTTACGAAACTTGTACTGAAACACCTTCTGAGGATTTGAAATTCTGTAACTAGAGTGGCTCACTGCCGCGACTACAAAAGAGTTCACCTTTTAGTTAACATGACTGGCAAGAGCAACTGGCGAAAGTGCAAGATGTCCCCACCCCCTAAGCCGAACAGTGCTGTATATCTGTTTGATATTTGTTTACTCTTTGTGGTTGTGTGACGTCGGAATAAATACGTGTTAGTAAGGTAATGCGAATGTTACAAAAAGCTAATGTTTATGATGAAATTGTTGATAAGTTCAATTTATCGTGCTAAACACAGTAATCATATCGAAATGTGGACGAAAGGTTCGGGAGTAAATGCGACCTGCAAAACATCCCCTTAACATAGCAATTGGCTCGAAATTATCTCAGCTGCTGTATCATCGCAACCACTTCGGTATGAGGAATTGGAGATCCCACCGAGGCGGGTCGTATTGACCTTTGTGAAGAATGCTTTTGGTTATTGACTTCTCGTTTCCTTATTTCACATGTGCAATATGCTCACAAGGGAAGATCGGTAGGTTTTCCGAGTGGCCATGTTGAGAATGAAGATGTATACGCGGCTGAAAGGTCTTCGGTAATGGAATTCAGACCGTGTTTTTTTTTGGGGGGCGAATACACTAAAAATTGGCGGCGTAAGGCTGTTGAGATTGTGGCAGCATGGCCGAGTGGATACGTCGTAGGGTTCACGGATGCGTGCCGAGGGTTTGGATCCTTGATGCGTGTGCTCTTTTGCATTTTTTCGAAAGTGGTCCCTGTGCACTTCAAAGCTATTTTGCATAACACTTGTCCATGATAATGTCGTGATGTAATGATTCTCCTGTAATACTGCTGGAGGCGCATTGCCGAACGATTTCATGGAGATATCACCGGCTGAAAGATTGTATGCCAGGCCGAAAAGCTTCCAGCAGATAGCGAAAACTCTTGTGAGATAGACATAATTCAACATTATGCCACTGGTGAATGAAGCTCTTGCCCATCGCGATCTCCAGCATGATTGCCACATCAACGCCACTTCATATGGAAGCATTTTCCCCACTATAATCATCTTCCTGCACAACTTCGGATTCGTTTTCCGGTCATGTCGTTTGGAGAATAAATTCATTTGAAGGCAAAATCTTTCTTTGGAGTGCACTTTTGTTGTATATGCTCTCACACTCAAGAAAGAGGAAGACACACAGTGCAGAAGTTGATTTCTATTGAATGGTTTGGGGGCAATGGCTACCTCAAGTCTCAGAATGCAGTACATCACGACGTTTCATGGCAGTGTTATGCAAAATGGCTTTGAAGTGCACAGGGGCCACTTTCGAAAAAATGCAAAAGAGCACACGCATCAAGGATTCAAACCCTCGACCACGCATCCGTGAGCCCTACGACGTACGGCGCACTCGGCCATGCTGCCACGATCTCATAGCCTTACGCCGCCAATTTGTAGTGATTCTCCCCCAAAAAAGCTCCGTAACTTCTTTCTGGGAGGTCCGCAGCAGATATGGAAGACGGTTTCGTAATTCCGTGAAGACTTCCAGGCCGGTATACTTTCTTTTCAAATGGCAGCTTCGACCATACCATCGCTTCCGCTTGTCAGACCCACCCCTGCCCCCCCACCCCCACATCCCCCCACCCGCACTCGACGATACCGAGGGGTGGGGAAAGAGGGAGAGAGAGATGAGGGACAACTGGCCGATTAGCTTCCGCAGTACGCAGAAAGTTGGGAAGAATGTAGGAAGGTAGTAATAGCATAGGAGCGTACTAGAAGGAGGAAACTCTGAGCTGTATTTTGCAAAATTTTTTCCAGCGTCACGAAGTGCCCTGGGGAGACATGGAATGAGTGGCATTTTCACCATTGGTGGTTTCTATCCTGAAACGATGCACGTACTGTCGAAAAACTACACCCAGCGATCAAAGCTTTATTACAACACCTGACGCTTTGGCCCCGACTAATTCAACAATGTAATATTTGTGGGCACCCCTCCTATTATATATTCTACTTATTTATGTGTATATGTATTTGACTATTTACTCATTTATTTTTTCGTTTCTGGGGCTACTACTGGGACAGATATGGTGTAGTGATAAGGTGTCAACTATCAACTGCGCAGGTTTAATCTGTGGTTCCATTCCAACCCAGGCTGACCGAAAAAAACTTCTAGCTCTCCTGAAATGATAAATAACCAAAAAGTATTATATATAGTTTATATATCGGACGCTATTGTATAAAATCAGGCCCAAAAAAACGAAAATCTATGGCTCAATATTCACACAAGTTTTCGTACAGGTTCGATACGTCTGCATGCGTTTGCACCATTTTTCAGTGGAAGTCGAATGCATGGCGCGTCCTAGGGTTATTTATCACCGTCGATCACTTTGCTATTTGACGTTGTACGGCATTCATCACTAGATTCATAGTCGAGTATGTATAGCAGCAGTCGCCCTTGAATCAATAATTGCCCCTACGTTCTCTTTATCATCATTTCAAGATATTTTACGCAAAAAAACATGTTTATTGTTATCTGGCTTTAAAAAGCGTTCAGGAGTACACTGCAAGCGTTTCTACGTTTATTCATAATTGCACCACTATGTGCAAAAGTTGGGCCGAGCCGGTGATCGAAACCGGGACCTCTCGCACCCTAAGCGAGAATCATACCACTAGACCACTCGGCCACGTTGGAATTTCGCTAGGAATTGTAGACGTGATCGCGTCGGCTTCGTCGTAGTGCAACGCTGCTCGGAACCGGTTTTTCGAACATTGGATCGGAAAAGAAAATTCGCTTTCTAAATGCCTGCCCTGGTTATTTATTAGGGCCATGATTGCTCTTATATTGGCAACCACCTATCAAAATAGCGTTTGAGGATGACGATCAGCTCATATCCAGGATCAGTACACGAATTTCTCAACGCAGCAGTCCCTTCTGTGTATAAGGGCCCATTGGTAAGAGAAACAATATCCTATGTTCTTTATTCAACATTTAAATAAATAGAATATAAATAATTTGCAAAGGAAGGGTCGCTTAAAACGCTATCTTCCACATGGGCTCGTAGAGTTCAGAAAAGGTTTTTATACAGGGCGTTCAAGGCGGTTTCTTCTGCTTTTTCATGACTTCCAGGCCGATTTAAGTGGAGTGAATACTCTCGCTTGAGCTCACTCTTCCAGATCAGGCGCAGTTTGGCTGAGCGAGGGCGCCTAAGTGGTACTCAGTAAGGCTTGTACAAGCCGCCGTGCGGAGACCTGTAAATACCAGCTACACTTCTACTACTTTTCAACTCCCCAGGAGCTTACAGGTGTCACCCTGTTAATAAGGATTAGTAAGCATGTATAGCGAAGGATGTCCCCTCAAGCCGAACAGTCTCACTGTTGAATGTCCTTGCAAAATAGCTACTGCCACAAAATGATGGGAAGCTTACCTTTTTCATTTACTTTACTACCATTGAACTCTCTAATTTTGAGGATACCAGCTCATCCACTGCACGGCCGACAGGACAGCTTTGGAGGGAGGGGGGGGGGGGGTTAAAGAAATTTTCCTCGCAAAAGTGGTGTCATCAACTACGACCCACCCACCCTTTTTTTGATGTAACCGTTCGACCTTCTCCATTGTCGAGTGATGTCTCGAGTGGGCTGAGGAAGAGCGGCTATTCTGCTCTCTACGACCTATCGGCTACATAAAGATTTTCACTAGACGACCGTCTACTGTTGCGCTAGAAGGGTCAAATACCCAAGTGTTCAGCACCCCCTCCTAGCTAAATGTGACTAAGGTCCTCCAAATATACGTGCCATCGCTCGAACTGACTCACCAGCTGCGCAGTTCCTAACGTTCAGGCTTGCAAACCCTTCAGACTGGGTGCCGTTTGGGTGCGCTCAGTTTTGGCTGCTGGCTCATTTATGAGATGCCTAGGTCACCAAATTCGCAGAAAACTATGTACAAGGTCTGTTTTTAATCCTGATTACGAATAAGACATTAATTGTTGGCGCTCGCGCTAATGGTGGATGCTACAGTTATCTATGCTCTGCTAAGGCCGAGAATAGTAAAGTACTGGATTCCCCTCCAATACCGAATAAAGCCGGAGTAAGGATTTATAAAGGCCAGTCACTTCGTTCCTGAACTAGTTCTGCATCTAATTAAATGAGAAAATGGTTTTTTGACCCGAAGGTAGCATCTCTATAGTGCATTCAATTGGGTGGCACTGAACTACATAGTCACCATTCTAATGTGAGTGCCACATTTGACGCTCAACTAAAAACCTTTTAAAATGAATTACTCAAAATGCACAAGAGTTTATTCAGCAGATCGTGCTGAAAAAGTGAATTTCTTCTAGGACAACAATAACTGATATATCATACAAAATATACAGTAACAACGACGAGATCGTGTGAGCACAAGTGATTGACGGCGAGTGAAATCTAGGGTGAGAATGGTCCTTCGGTTTCCAATCGATTATCGATCGACTATTGATCATTCGATTGTG